AATCTAGTCCTTTTCAATATACTTAGTTTTAACTCCAACAGAAACATTTACTAACTCAGTATTTGCTAGTCTCAATATATTTTAAAGGAAAAGTTCTGTATCTCTTAGATTTTCATTTTATGATTGATTTATTTTTTAAAGCAAATGTTTTTATAATAAAAAAATACTCCCACTCATTTTGGAATTTTGCAAGGTAGATTAAATACCTTTTTTGATATGCTTTTTGGTTTTTATTTTGCATAATTTTTTTTGTAAATATGGGATTGTTTAGTTATGTGGTTTTTTTTTTTTTTTTTTTTTTTTACATGGAACAATTAAATTTAAGAATAATGTCCAGATTTTCTTACAGCCTTCACATAAAGCAGTCTTACAATTTAAAGTGTGTGTGTGTCTTCAAGTTTTAACTTTAAAGGAAAAAAATTACAGCCTGATGATGGAGACATGGATCTTTGAAAGTACTTGCTTAACTTAAAAAAAAAATTTACACTAAAAATATCTGACAACAGTTTTATAAATGAGGATCACATCATTCAATGGATTAACAGTATTTTAATGTATACATTATGTTCTACTAACGAAGTGATTTCACCATTAATCGCATTAATATTGCTGATTGATTCTAAGTATGATTATTTCTTATATATGTGTGCGTGTGTGATGAGTAAATTGTCACCATTTTATATTTTAATTTTGTGCATGTACATGGTTTGTTTTTTGATATTTGTCAACTGCACAGTTGGGCACCATCTGTGAGAAAAAGAGTACCATAATGCAATTCACTGCTCCAGGGATTTGGAAATGGCATGCTGTAATGCTTGGCATATGTGCCAGAAGCTCCAATATGAACATTTCAGAGTGTTTGGGTGTCAATCTGAGGACTGTGTAGAGGATTCTGAAAGAGTTGGATGAGTCTAATGGTGATTACGAAGGTGTTTGGAGTAATCACTAGTGATGGCAACTTTATACTGCCTTTCATCTTCCCACAGAGCCTCAGGCTCAACATGGTATTCTACATCAAGTGCCTTGAAGGTAGTGCTGCCCTGGGTAAAGAGGGTAGCTGCTGGAAGACCCTATCTCTGGCAACAGGCCTCTGCCCCATGCCACACAAACAGGAAAACCAACTGATGTCTGTCAGACAATTTCTGTAACCACATCACCTTTACATCTGGCCAACTAACTCCCCAGACTGCAACCCCCTTGATTATTATGTATGCGGTGCAGTTGAGTGAGAGGGCAATAAAATTCCTTGTTACACCAAAGATGAACTGAAGGCAAGGATTATGGTAGCATTCACCAACTTCAACAAGGATTATATATATAATAATATAGACAAAAGGAAAACTTGCCTTTATTCTCAAATTTCATCCTCTGATTGTCATTATCAATTCAAATGTAAAGATTTTATTTGGCCTTGGTGAAGTCTATTAGAGGGTGGTATGCATTGGCAAAGTTTTCCTTTTGTCTTTATTTATATTGTCTTTTTACTGATATATTTTATTTATATCCTAAGTTTTACACACACACACACACACACACACACACACACACACACACACACATATATATATATATATATATATATATATATATATATATATATAGTGAGTGCAAAATATAGAAAACCTTGCATTTTGACATGACATGAAACTATTAAAGCAAATTAAGATGCTATTTTGATTTGAGATGTTTTAAAAATAAAATTTTCTTAAAAATGGTTTTCTTGTAACACTTTTCAGTAATAGTATAAAGATGGTATCAAATGTATTCAATTTGATTCCATTATTGATGAGTTAACTATTTTTTTCTGTATCCTTTTGAACAGTTCTATGATTAGTCATATAGTGAAATGTAGTCTCTTGATCTCCTCTCCTTAATGGATTTAAAGTCTGGTTTTCAGTGTTTATTCTAGATTAGAAACCTTAATAGTTGATATTTTTCTTAATTTTTGAAAATTTTATTTTTTTATGTGCTTTAAAAACAATGAGATTGAACTGAAAATCTGAGAAATATCTTCCCATAAATTAAAGCTTTTGGGATTTTGTGCAATTTTGTAAGAAAATTTTTCTCTCAAACTTTATATTTTGAGCATCCTATTAGGATGTTTGCTTGTATGTGATGTATATTATTAATTAAATATCAAAGTTATTCTATTAGGGCTGTTTTTTTCCTTGAAATATTTGAGAGTGGGAAGTTAATTTATTTTATAAATTAACTAATGCAAAAATGATTTTTTTTTTATTTCTTTGCTGTAACTACATGTAAATTGAATATAAATTTATAAAATGTATTATTCATGTGCCATATCCCTTCAAGATGTTGGCAGCCATGTCTCTCCACAGTTTCCTGTCCTTTGTAGTACTTAATAGATTATTATTATTATTAATAATATAATATAATAACTATTATAATAATAAGAATTTCTAATCTCTTTGAGATGAAAATAGAATCACGAAAGCATAAAAACATTTTCTTTGGTACTTTTTATTAATTTCTGTTCTCTGCAATATATATGCATGTTTATAAAACTTAGCTTTTATTTCCTTTAATACTTATACAATTGGATCCACCTGTTAATTTATCAAAAAAAAAATTTGTTTTTAATGTTTCTATAACTTTATCAAATTATTGAATAATATTAAAAATCTTTTAAAATTTACTAATATATTGGGATTGATTATTAACTCATATAAAAATTGTCCTTTCTAATGTCTCCTTTTCCTTTCTTAAATAAAACTAAAATCTATTTGCTTTTGATAAAAATATAAGAACAAACAATTTCTGTGTGTCCTAACAAATGAAATGTGTCCAAATAAATTTTTTCCATTTTGTCTTTCAATTTCCTCAATACTGTTCTTGATGTAAGAATATATATCGTTATCTTATCTCCTATATATTTATTTACTTATTACTTTAAATGTTATTTTTAGTGACTACCCATATTTCCGTAGATGTCCTTTTTTTTTTTTTTTTTTTTTTAATATAAATATTAAACTGTTTATTTAATTTACTGGCCTGTACCCTCTGACTACTCTGTTATGGACAGCTTCACAGTCAAGCAATATTCTATGAGACACAGGCAGAAGTGAGTTTAGGATTGAGATCTTTATTATTATTATTTAAATAATCTCTTCCCTTTTAAATTTATTTATTTGTGATTTATACACCCCTTTCTAATGATTAATTTTGAAATATTTAATTTAAATTTAGTCATTTTTGAATTGAACAATGTCTATAATTTGCAATGTGATAATATACTCTTACTATATAGATCTAAACAAGATACTTTCAAGAATTTGATAAAAAAAGAGCACACTATGATAAAAAAGGCCCCAGACTTTAAAAAAAAAAAAAAGTTTTATTGTCAAAATATTTGTTAATATTAAGAGGAAAAACGAAAGTATTTTTGGATTATTTTATTAAATTTTTTTAGCATGATCAAAATTTTGGTTAAAAATCTTGTTTTTCTTCTATCAGTGAGTGGGCTGAAGATTAGTATGAGAAATTTAGCATCTTTTTTTATATAAAAAACATTGTTTTGGAAATTCTTCCAAAAATCAGATATTTGTCGGATTTTAAATAAATTTTCAGGACTTTTTAAATTTTATTTTATTTTTTTTATAGAAAATCGTTTGTTTTTTTGTTTTGTTTTTTTTTTTTAACATTTGTTACCCCCACCACCACCACCACCACTTAATTTTATGAAATTTCAAGAAAATTAAAATTTCAGTCTCTTCCTATTTATATTAAAAACAGGACTCCTTGGAGAATTTAAATTATCAATTTGTTTTTCCTAAACAGAAACACTATTTACTGAAAATCTGCTCTGAATTGTGAAATAAAATATACACTGAAGCTATGATTTTATTTAATTAGAAAAGCTTTTAAAAATAAAATATTAAGGACACTATTGTCTTCAGAAAAACAGTTTTTTTTTGGGTTTTTTTTAAATTTTAATAATTTATTAAGTTTTAAATCTTAAAATTCTGTATTTTTTTTCAGCCTTTTGGATGATGTTATGAAGTAAAATCTTTACTGATCATAAATAGAAAAACTTAGTACAAATCATCAAACACTAATGTTTTTAAATGAATTCTGAATTTCTTTTGTATGTTTGTAAGTGTGCTGATTTTTGTAGATATGGTCATCCATACACAAAATTGTCAGAAAATAAGAGTGATAACTATAGTAAATTTAAAGCCAGAAAGTATTTAAAATTCAATAAAATATTACAGAAAATATTTTTAAAATTTTTAAGAGTACTTAAAAAGGTGCTGACATTCAATTATTTTTTTATGGTTAAAGCCTCCATAGAACATCAGCTAAACTCAATCTGTCATGCATGTCAACGGCTTAAATAAACAGCTACTGCTGTGTTAAAAAAATGCATTTCTGTGATATTTTAAACTTAAAATAAATATTTGTTTCAAGTCAGATTAATCATACTTTAAATCACCTAATATTCCTTAAATAAAATTTCAGAGAAGTTTATATATATATATATATATATATATATATATATATAAATTTTTTCTTTATTTTTTTAAGATTTTTTTTTTAATAAAGAGAATTATATTGACATTGCAATGAAAGACTACTAAAAAATGGGGTTCTAATCAGCTATTTTAGCAAAAAATAAAATAAAAAAAAAACTCCTTCCAGCCAATTGAAATTAGTTTTGAAATACATAGAAGTATTTTGCTTATTGGAAATATTAAATTTAATCTATTAGCTTGAAATTAAAACTATGATAAAAATTCCAAGAAAGAATTTTTATTTTTAAAAATTCATTTTAAACCTTGGGTATCGGGTTTTCTGTGGTGGTACCTATTCTAAATGGAGTGAAATCAGCTATGAAATACTTGGGAATATTAGTTATCTGCCCTTGTTTATTCCTGCATTTTGCAAATGTTCATAAACAACAATACTATTTTCTATGAATTTTTATTTATTATATTTCCAGATTTTTACCTCGATGAGTAGATGGAGCTTTATCTGAGAACATGTGTGCCTCACTAACAAGAGGTATGTAAAACCTTTTTGATGATTTTAAATACAAACATAATGTTAGGTTACCAAATATGTGTGGGTGGCCTTGATAGTATCTGCTGTTGATGCAGATATTTATCAAAACACATTAAAAATAGAATAAATACATCTTGGGAGAAGTTAGAAGAACATAAATGACACCTTTATTTTCTAGAAAACGAACATGCAAGGTATAGACATGTATTAAATATTTTCTTTCCAATCCTGAAAAAGAAAGCTCATGGCTGTTACAAAAGTTATCTCTACTCACAAGTCTGGCATATCCTGTTGCAAGAGGGTGTATTTATTCATACATCAGGAAAGCATCTTTTCTTCATGATGCCTCTCTCAAAACTGTTCTCTTTACAGGCTGAACTTCACTGACTGTTAAGTCATATGACCAGCCAAGTGCAGTGCTTAGTAATTGGGGAAGAGGATTCCTTTTTTGTCAATCAGTTGCATATTATTTGAATGTAGATGGGTTTTTTTTTTTTTTTTTTTTTTTTTAATCTTATTTATAATCTATTACTAGCAATAGGCCAAAATGGTAAAAATTACTTCCTGGATTCCAAAATGGTATCTTCATGCTTCCTTCTTTCCCAAATCTGGTTTTTAGTGATTTAATACATAATCAAAAGTTGCTTCATGTTCTGACCACTATGATAAAAATGTTTTTTTTCATATGAATTTCAGTTAGCATTTTAAAAATTCTTTTAAATAAAAAGCTTTGAGTTTCAGAAACAAATCTGTATTTATACTATTTACTGTTGGTTTAATGTCCTCATCTTTATTACTAAGACAATGTTTTGGCTGTTGCGCTCTTCAGTCTTCAGGTGGCTGTTGACTTGGGTAATTTTAAGGGAATTTCAGATTGAACCTTATATTTAATCTTTGGGAGTAGATTGTTCTTGTTCCATGTCTATGGATATCTCATTTTGTTTTTGTATTTTTAGTACTGCTCACTTATTGGTGTAATGGATAGTAAGAAATCGCAGAGTAGAATTTAAATTCTAGTTGAGTTTGTTACATTCACTTATGTCCAAATACCTTTGGGAAAGGTATGCATCTCTCTCCTTAGCTATGGGTTAAATAGTGTGACTTGTATTTAGAAAAATCATTGTCATTCTCAAAAAATTGATAATACATAAAAAAAAAAATTATTATAATCCAAAATGTTTTGGTATCTGTCCATACACTGTGCCATGTGTCCTCAAGGACACATGGCACAGTGTATGTGTGGAACTAGAACAGTCTACTGCAGTGAGTGAAATAAAGGGTTCAGTTCAACATTCCAACCACCTGAAGAAGGCCGAAATGTACAACGGCCGAAACGTAATAAATATGGTGACAAAGATGAAGACAATAGTTCGAATAATGTAAATAGTGTCCAAAATGTTTTAGCTTGAAATAACCTGCAAAGGGTTGATAAATCATAAAAAAGTAACTGTTCAATTACTGCTCACCCTGGTTCCACTAGTCTATCTGTACTACCCAGCCTAGGGATTGAACTCACAATTACTATGCTATCAAATTCACAAATCGATGCTTTAATCTGCTAGGCTATTTGTCTTGTGGGATAATAACAAAGATTAAGATATTAGTTTGAATGTAAATCATGTTAAATCATCATCCCAGAAATTAAGATAGAGATTAAATGTGTATTATATGAATACACTGTTTATACAAAACAATTATTTTAACTTTGTATATTTAATCAGTTGGAAGAAGTGAATGTATGCAAAGAAGAGTTGAGCATTGCTCTGAAATATCCACTACATTTTTATTTTGAGTATTCATAAAAATTGTTTGCCACTCATTTACAGATATGAGCATTAAGTAGCTATTAGAAACATGCTTATAGATAAGCAATATTTATGAAATAAGAAATTGTAAATGTTTCTTTATACCTTTCCAAAATCAATGTTTTTGAAGCAATTATTTTAATGTTTGTGAAGAAAAAAAACTAAAAAGAATAGAAATACTATAAAAATGGTATTGCATTAAAAAAAAAAATAAAAAAATTGAAACCAGTGTTCATACACTCAAACTGATCTCTGTATTTTATTTTAGACAAATGTTTTATTTGTATGATTTTGTTTTGTAATCAGTGCAATTTTTGTACTTGAATGCATGATAAAAAGCTTGACCAATAAAATTTGAGAATGGACATTAAAATCTTGACACCTGAATATAATTCTATATTCACAAATATTTTTGGGAAAAGACAAAAGAAAAATTCTTAGACAAGTAATGTTCAAATAACAGATTTTGTGCAACTTTTGTCTCTAGCAAAAAAAGAAAAAAAAGCAATTTCACCAGCAAATGAAATTTGATTGGCTGAACTTATTTTGTAATAATGTTAAAGTAAATAAGCTAAATTTGAAAAAAAAAATACCTTTGTTTAGAACTCCTCAGTAGTTTGCATTCTTTGAAAAACTTAACAAATCTGTATTATTTTAATGAACAGAATTAAAGTTGTATTGTGGTCTTTTGGAAGCAAAATAAATGAACTTAGTTTTTAATCATTCAGTCTAATCTTAACTTGATAATGCCATAAGTAGTTTTCTTTCAAACTGACCAGCTAATTAACTTCAACACCTGGCATTTTATTGGGTGATATGATTTTTCTAAATTTACAGCAACTTGTTTTATGAACAAGCAAAAATTTATTAATTTTAATGAAAATTCTCAGTTTTCTTAAAAGTAATTCTTATATTTGGATATGCAATCTTTTCTGATTATGCTGAAAAAATGTGATTTCTTAACTTTTGTCATTTTTCTTCCAAGAGATTCTCTTGTGAATGATATAAGAATTATAATTATTCTATTTGATGATATATACATCAAAAACCAATGTCTTTTCAGTTTTTGCATGTAAAATATATATTTGTGTATTTATTAATCAGTGGGTTTTATAAACTTAAAAATTACTATTACAAATATTATCCCATTTATGCATTCAATGTGATTGTATTTTTAATCTTAATAATAATATTTATATATATGAGGTATGTCTATATCCAGCCATTTTGAATATATCAAGAACAAGTTGTGTGGCTTTGTAACTTGGCAACCAATCAGAGGGGACTTTACTGCACATGCATACCTATACAGTTGGCAGTGAAAGACCATTGAGTGAACTTGGTTACTATGTGACTGTCCCATTCTTTTTTCTTTGTGAAGAGATTTTTTTTTTTTCTTCAAAATATCATAGTACTCAACCATGTCAGATCCCAACAGTCCAGATTATGCATTTGGCTCTCTGTGAATTCTGCAATTTCCCATTGGAACGATAGATTTTAGATCCTGGATAAGATTAAAGGGAAAATGATGGCAGTCCTGAAATGGTATTTGCAGACTTTCTTGAAAAACAAAGGAAACTTGGGTAGATCCCAAGGAGTTATTTGAAGGTGCTATTACCCAAAGTAGGCTATTTTTTTTTATTTTTTTAATATTAAATGACTATATTTTCTGGACAAACCTCATGTATATTTTAAGCTCTAAGAGCCTACCACTGGTTGTAACAATGGCTGTAATAATATTTAATAGATTGGTCTTCATTTTAGCCTCACCAGTTTTTAATGCCAAGCAAAATTCTTTTGAATGTTCACTTTTATTTCAATCTCTCCAGGCTAAATTTGGTTTTTCTTCATGGAAGGAAAAACAATTCTGCTCAAACTAAAATTTTTTTTTTTTTTTTTTTTTTTTTTTTACTTTTAAAATACAAAGAAAATTGTAAAATGAAACTTGTAGTTTTTGATGGAAATATTTTGAAATTTGGTGCAGTTTGTATCATCATTCTTTATCATAGATCTTAAAATAAAATCTTGATTCTATTTCGAATTTTAATTTTACGGCAATGGTAGGGAGAAAAAAAAATCCTTGTTTATCAATATTCTTTGCTTTTTACAGTTTTAATGTTTTATTTTTCCAAAGTTAAAAAAAAAAAATCTTTTTAGTTTCCACCTAAAAGTTTTTTTTTACTTTTTTTTCCTAAGCCATTAATCAAACAAGTGCAGCAGGATTAAAGCTTACCATAAAATATTTTCAATGTAAAATATACAAGGATGGATCAATAAGTTCACATCCTGATATAGTTATTAACTTAATTTTAATCTGAAATTTCATTGTTTGATCATTATCATTTCCCAATGAATTAAAGGCATTGAAAAGAAGGAAATTAAACATATTTTGCATAAAATATATATATATATGAACTTATTGATATACCTACATCCAAGTTACATTTGTTTGTGGGAGGTAACAAAATATTTTATTAAGATTTGAACCATTAACGTTAATAACGTTTTAAAAGTATGCATTGAGTAATTCTTGTCAGGTACTCAATGAGGATTGAGCCATTTATACAATACTAATAGTTTGCTAGATTAGCTTGCTATAAACATTACCCAATGGCAATGCAAAACTTGTTAATTTTACCACTGTCAGGAACCACGTTACAGATGTGAGGACACTCAGTAAGAATCAAATTCCCTCTACTTATAATGGTATCCTCTGATTACCTTGTTAAATCCTGTTCTATGATAAGATTGTGATAAAATGGTTACTTATCAGATGAATCACATGGCTGGGCCTCTTAGATTAAAGAATTTAAAACAAAAAGTCTTTTTATTGGTTCTGTTGGAGAAAATTTTTTTTTTTTTGTTGCTTTGGAAATTTTCTCCATTATAAAAATTTACACTCATTTAGGTAGAAGAACAATTTCTCTGCTAACCTATTTTTTTCTCTAAGTGGAAACCAATTGTGTGAAAATAAAAAAAAAAAAAACTGTATCTTTCCTATCCTGTTTTTTAAAGAAACCAAAGTGTTTATATTTTACCCAGAATTCATCTCTTATTGTTTGCTTTTTTTTCTGAGACTGAAAAAAATAAATTAAAACTAATACTTTTAAATGAAAGTTTTTCATTTTGTCACTTTGGAAATGAGCTATTAGGATAAGTTTAATGAACTGCCAGGATTGACCTCCTTGTCATAAT